TACGAAATGCATGTAGCACGTGTGCACTATCATACAGTCAAAAAGTCCTAAGCCGGGACAGAGTGTGATTTGCTCAGATCCAGTCGCGTGGTCTAGAGCACCCAGCCATGCTAACAGTCACTCTTCCTGGGCAATTCTCCACCCACCCCATACAGCCATCTCTTTCCAGACCAAAAGCTTTGAGTTTGCTTTATAATTGTATATTTATTACTTTCCAAAGGAAACTTTGTAAATCAATGGAAATATTTAGCAACAAAAAGAAGACTATCCTTGCTTTGACCTAGCTCCTGTTTTAGGCACAAAGGGGCTCGGGAGGCAGCCTGGGTTTGAATCTCACTTTGTCACTGACTCCCTGTGACCTTGGCCAAAACACGTCCCCTCCCTGAGCCCTAACTCCCACCTTAGTGAGATGGAGACAGGACGACTCAAGTAGAATGCAATTGTGTGAAAACTACTACAAGGCTCAGCTATAGGGAGTGGTCTATGGATGGGGATGTTCTCAACTCCCCCTTCCCAGAGCAGCAACGGGACATGCAGGATGGGGGAACGCTGTGACTTCCCAGACCATGGTCTAAGAACCAAACACACATTCCCACACTGGGTGGAAATGGGGGTGGGGGCCGGAGCTCTGGGTGGCTGTCCAGGGGCCCTAGGTCCCATGGGATGTGGGCCAGGCCTTACAACTTCCCGGGCAGTTGGTGAAAACATTTCCTACCATTAAAATGGTTTCCATAACAACTTTTGTCCTGGCTGCTTAGTATTTGGTGCCCGTGGGGCTTAAGTGTGTGAGTGGATTTGGTGGTGGTTCAGGCTGCTTGCTCGGTGGAAGATCCAGACACTCAGGAAGTCCTGCTCTTGGGCTGGAGGCATCAATACGAACCAAAGGCCTCACCAGAGCTTCCCCTCATGCGGTCAGAGAGCAGACCTGCCTGGGAGGCTGCCTCATCTTTTAAATCCTCCCTTACATGTTATCCCACCAAAATCCTATATAATAAAAGGCTAATATGCAAACTGTCCCCTCAACCAGGGGGTGGGGCTGGCCGCCCAAATGCCTGCAGCCCCTCCCCCTGGCCGGCCCCACCCCTGATCACACCACCCCACCCTGATTGGGGGGCAGGGCCAGCTGGCCAACCTCCTGTGTCCAGCCATCACCACCCAGCCGGATTTGCCCATGGGTGGGCCTGCCGGACCGGACCCATGCACGAATTTGGGCACCGAGCCTCTAGTAAAAATAATTAAAAAAATGAATTTGCCATTAGGAAGTATGGGCAGGATGTCAGTGGACATTGGTGGCTCTGGCCTGTGACAAGTGGCCCCGGGCCTCTCATGGCTCAGGTGCTGCTAAGGGACCTTGAATCTCCATGTATCATTTGGAAAATGGAGAGTCCCCTGCTGTCCTGACAGGGGTCACTCAGGCGCTGACCTCACGGACTACAGTGACACTGGGGAGACTCTCTTTGGCAACACTGCCGTCTTTAACGCACTATGTTTAACCTGCTCTGAGCCCACAAGGAAATAACCAGGGTTCCAAACCCAGCTCCGCCACCTGCTGCTGTGTGAGCCTGAGCAAGGCTTAACCGGTCTTCTCCGCTGCAAGAAGGACATAAGAATGTCTCAGGGACCTGACAAGTAATGGAGTAGCTAGCAGTGCCTACCAGTCCTGGTACTTGGTCCACACGCAATGACACCTGAGTCTGAGTTTAGACCAACTATCCTGTTGTAGTTATCCAAAGGGGCTGAGGAAATACTGCTGCCATCCTGCCAACCTTGCCAACCATGAGGCCGAGGGAAACTTGTTTAGAAGCCCAGCCTTAGCTGTACAGAAATCGGTGCGTCTCCTACAACTGCAGCAATATTGGCTCCTCATCCAGACTGACCGGAGAAAGCCGGGTGGCACAGGGAGGTCGCTGGTTCCCTCCGCACATTTACACACCATCCGCAGCTGCAGAGGCCATAGGCAGCAGCCTCTGCTCTGAGGAGCTCAGCAAAGGTGATGTGAGTGGCAAGCACTGTGCAGAGGCCGGGCCTGGGTACTCGGGGGCCCACAGCAGGAGCACTTCACCCTTTTGGGGGCTCAGGGATCTACAGACAGGAAGCAGGGCTCAAGGATGGGGAAGGCAATCAGGCCAAGGGAAAAGCATATGCAAAGGCTCAGGACAAAAGAAGGGACGCATGGAATCGTGGGAAGCAGCCAGTTCTGTCACAAAGGGGCTGGAGAGAGAGATGAGGAGAGAAACTGGCTAGGGCAGGTCTGAGTGCTCACACACCGGTCAGCGTACTAGTCTTGGCTTCCCCACAAGTGATCTGATGATCAGGAAGCCTGTGTTGTCCTGGAGCCCAAGGACGGCGACCTCTTCCTACCTACACCTGGGCTGGCTCAGACCAAACTATAGCGGTAAGCGAAGCGAGTGGTAGGGCCCGAGCTAAGGGTTCTGCTGTGGGGAAAAGCGGGAGCACGTGCTGAGGACCCAGACAGAAATGATTTCACATTGATCTGCAGAGCACTGGCCTCCTGCTCCATCCACACTGCCCAGTGGGGAGAGACACCCCCATGTGCATCCTACAGCCGAGGACTAGGACAGAACCCCCCATATTCTGGCTAAAAATACAGAATGACATGCTGGTTCTGTTGTTTTTAATTAAGGAAATCAAGTTGAACATACAAGCCTGTAAACACTGAAATACAGAAACATGTAAGCTGCTGCACAGAATTCTTACTTTAAAACAACACAATCTGAATGAGGTCCCTCCCGCTACGGGGCGGTGTGGGAGAGAGATTTCTGTAACCGGCTGACAGTGGAGTGAAAGGAAAGGTGTAAGTGTCCCACATAACCAGAGAGCACGGACCATGTGTGGTCACAGCAGGCCGCCTCAGGGCAGTTAATTTGCACTTGTGCTTGGCTGGGGCTCCTGCTGCTGCTGCTCTTTTGTTTTGGGCTTTGGCTTTCTCTTCTTCTGTTTGGAGAGGCAGCTCAAAGCGGACTCACCGTTCCTCGGAGCAGGCCTGAGCACGGGCGGCTGGCCAGACTGAGTGGGATACTTGGTTTTCTGGTCATCTTTAAACAGCGGTTGCGAGAGTAAATGGCGCAGCTCCTTCTTCAGGATCTTCATCTGCTTCTGTCTCCGTCGCTCTTCATGCTGGTCAGCTTTTCCTCCTTGAAACACAGTATGAAAAAGATCACATTTACCTGAAGACTTTCCCCTGATGGGGATGTCGTGAGGAGAAATGTTTTCTGGAGAGGCAGGCTCAGAAGTTCTCTGCAGAGGCTGGTGTTGTCTGACTTCCAACAGTTTAGGAGGGCCACTCAGGGCCACTCTGTCCTTTACCTGTCACAAAAACCCTCTAAGACAGAAATTATCTTAATTTTACAGTCCAGGAAATTCAGAGGTCACTTGCTGAAAGTCACAGAGCTAGCTGTCAAACAGATTAGAACCCAAATCTCCAGACGTGTTATCAGTTTTCTTTCTACACCCCCTACCCACTTGCAGCCTGGGGTTTGACAACTCAAACTACAAACCCCTCAGGAGACAGGACACGTCTATGCAGCCCAGCTCCCCTGCGTCTCCCCCCGCAGCACTGTGACTACCCTGCTGGAGCGGGCGCAGCCCAAGGGCTCACACCGGCCTGTCCTCAGGAAGGGAGCAGAACCTCATGTATCTACAGCCCAGGCCCCAAGCCCGAGCTACCAGGAGGACTAGTTCACTGTCATCAAGCCCAGTGGTTTGGTTCCTGCTTCTATGCTGAGCACACAGTAGTATGTCTGCCTCTGACCCTTAGTTTTGGCACTGAGATGCCAACACCCCAGCTGAGCTACTCACTTGTGGGCTGGAAAGAGCAATGGGCCTAACTCGGTGTTGTCGGTTCCAGATGTGGTTCTGCCACTCCTGAGACTCGGGAACTTTCTAGAGCAGGGACCACACAGACACATCTCTGAATCCTGAGCCTCGGGCCCAGGTTCGGAGTTAGGGGCTCAGGAAACACCTGGTGGTGGGGCTGTTTTCCTGCACAAATGACTTCTCTTCTGTTCCCTAGTTCCCTATTTACAGGGTAACGATCCTGCGGTTTATGTCAGGAGACCATGCAGATCAGGTGAGCTGATGACCAAGTGCTTCGTTAGCTTGGAAGACAGGCAGAGTAGTAATGACAATAACTCGAAATGTATCAAATACTTTCTACTTGCCAGTCACTGTTGTAAGCACTCTAAATCCATAAGTCAAGCCATCTTCCCAACAACCCCATGAGGTAGGTACTTTATAACCCGGATTTTATAAATGAGGACACCCAGGCACAGGGAGATTAAGATACCTGACCTGGTAACATCCAGTTAAGGGAATGGGGCAGCACTCAAACATGGGCAGTCTGGCCACATGTGGGTGGTAATGGAAGGCCCCAGACAAAGAAGACAGAGGCAAGCAAGGCCGAGGGCTTTAGGCTCATCTGGGACAAGGGCCTGTCACAAAGAAGGAAAAGGCATCTTGCTGACAGTGACAGGACCCGTGGTAGTGGGGAGGTTCCAACAAAGCAAAGTTGAAGGGAAAACAAGCTGAACTCGCCCTTGCTCAAGGTCCGTCCAGCCCACTTACCCTTGTACATTTCCTCGTCCAGCTCAATCTCAAGGGCAGCAGCAGCCTGCTCAATCCAGGAGTTGTGCAGACAAGCCTGGAAGTTCCGATACTCGGCTTTCTCAACCTGCCGAGCTAACTGGACTCGCTCCTGGGGGAAAGGAACAGAAAGTGCTCATCTGACAAAGGGTTCAGGCCTCTGGGAAGCAAAGTCTGTTTAAGTTTGTTTAAAAATGCTCTTGAGCCCAGCTGGCATGGCTCAGTGGTTGAGCGTCGACCTATGAACCAGGTGGTCACGTTCAATTCCCGGTCAGGGCACATGCCCAGGATGCGGGCTCAATCCCGTGTGGGATGTGCAGGAGTAGCTGATCAATGATTCTCTCTCATCATTGATGTTTCTAGCTCTCTTTCCCTCTCCCTTCCTCTCTGAAATCAATAAAAATATATATTTTTTAAAAATGCTCTAGCAATCAGTAGTTCCCAATGAAAAGGCAGAGGGCACGCGTGACATGTGGCACACACAGGACATCACAAGGGCCGGCATCCGAACGACCCTGAACTGCCCCCCTTGGAGCCTCCTCAGGCGGACTGCCAGCTACAGGCGTCCAAAGGACACCCTTCCCCAGGCACCACAGCTGCTTCCACGGCTGAGCTGAGACCCTGAAACACCCCAACAGCCCCGAGTTAGGGCCCAGCTCTCAACCGCAGCAAGAGCAAACTCACAGAACTGCCTTCCCTCTCTTTCAAGCTGTCCTTTGAGAAAAGCATTTCAAGTCTCCCTCTCATGGGTGTTGTGGTCAGACTGCAGTGACAGCGGAAGACGGAGAGATCTTGCGTGTGAGGGAAAGGAGTCACGAAAAGTCAGGGTGGCTCATATTCCCCCTTACTCAAGGTTATCCTCTGCGCCTCCACCTTCCACCTGCATCTCCACCTTTCCACCTGCGCCTCCATCGTTCCATCTGCATCTCCACCTTCAACCTGCGTCTCCATCGTTCCATTTGCGCCTCCCATCAGACTTCCCTACATGGCTAACATGCCGTTTGAGCCAAAGGAGCCAACTGCTCTGCTCCCTCAGTTCCTGGAATTTCATCTCTTCACATCTCTACCTTTAGGAGGCTTGGAGAAAACCTCATCTCCTACCAATTCGACCACGTGCCCACTGGTACCACAGTGCTCCATCTGTCCTGAATTTTAGCACTTGGTCGGCCTCACCCGCTTTGCTATTTGATGCACTCTGGCCCAGAGTAAGCAGTACCCACTCAGGGAATGCCTGCTAAGTTAAAATAAAGCCCCAAAGGTGGGAATTACTGGCATCTGCTTCAGGACTGTGACGAAGCCTGAGTGTCTGCCTCAGCAAGCCACAGACCTCCCTTCCCTGCAGCCACCCCAGGATGTCCAGGCAGCAGGACTCACTGCATCCAGAGGAGGTAGTGGAGGTTTCAGAGACAGACAGTGAAGGTTCATTTGTGGCCACTCAGTCTTTCACCCTTATGCCAGGCACAGTGCCTCATTCCTTTTTTTTTTTTTTTTAAAGAGAGAGTGAAAGAAAGAGGCAAAGACAGAAACATCAATGTGAGAGGAACACATCAATTGGTTGCCTCCTGCAAGAGCCCTGACTGGGGCCAGGGCCGGGGAGGAGCCTGCAACCGAGGTACATGCCATTGACCAGGATCAAACCCGGGACCCTTCAGTCCGCAGCTCCATCCACTGAGCCAAACTGGCTAGAGCCTCGTTCCATTTTTTTTAATGAATCCCTTTGTTTAGCTCTTGGAAGAACCATTACTTAGTTTCCAAGGGTTATACTTCCAAGGTGAGGGAGCATCACCCTCTCCTCACTAGCACTGGCTTTTCACTTTTTACCTTGACTGCGTCCATGTACTTTGTCTCCACAGGGAACAATGGGATGTCCTCATCTTTCTTGAGGGTTTTGTAAATCTTCTTAAAATTGATCACATCCTCAGGCCCAATCAGCATCAGGCTGAGGCCTTCGTTGGTGGCACGAGCAGTTCGACCACTTCGGTGGACATAAATTTCCGAGGTGCGAGGGACCTGCCAAGGGAGGAACTGGGAGGTCACCATGTGGCCAGCACCAAGCACTGCTCCTCCCCTCAGGACCAGCAGCCCAATGCTGGAGCCTCCTCCCTCTCAGCCAGGCAGCTAGAAACCTCTCCAGCACCGTGGACTGATCCAGCCCTTCCCAGCCCCACATTCAAACTGTCCCCAGGTTTACTACCCGTTCACTGTGCAGGCTCTGCCCTCCCATGCCCCTGCCCTGGTTCAGGCCCTCAGACTATCAAGTGGAAAATGGCAGTCACTCTTCACTTTCCTTTCCCAACATTCCCGCCTCTTCTCACTCAGCTAACTGCCCACTTCCCTGTGTTCTTTCCTACTTCCTTTCCTACCTCTACATGCTCACATCCTTTCTACCTTTACATGCCAAGCATCTTTTAGAAAGTACTTCAACCTCCCAAACTAGAAGCTACCTCTCCCTCCCATTATATATCTATCTATACATACATACATATGTGTATGTGTATATATATGTAAAACGGCATATCGGGACAACGCTCCAACCAACTGGGCCGCCCAGCCAGGGCTCTCTCCCATTATATTTTGAAACTTTCTAATATCTTCTGCCTTAAATTATGGCTGCAGTCACTTCATCTCTAGTGGATCTGCTACTTCTTAGGGGCTAGAACTGTATAATGTTCACCGGATATCTTTTACAAAGACCGACCCAGCCTCTTCCCCAAAAAGATTTGCTGAATTGAACTGGCTCCCTAAATTTGTTTTTTAAAGCATGAAGGACTAAAAAGGAGAAATGATGCCAGAATAGCTATCTTTTATTTGAGCGCTTTCCCTGTGCTGGGTGCTTCATCAGCATTAGCTCACTTAATTTTAGTAATAACTCTATGGGGTAAGGAGCATTTAGTCCCAGTTTACAAACAATGACAGTGAAACCAGAGATGCTAAGTAACATGCCCCAAAGTAACCAACTATGAGGCAGCCAACACACATCAAACCGTGATATTCACTAGGGGTATACACAAATATTAACATCAGTATCAAGAGCTGCTAAAATTTAAGTGCTTATGCTGTGCTACATAGTCTTATAAGCTCTTCACATGTAATAACTTATTTTACCTTAAGAACTTAAGAATTAGATACTATAATAACTGCCACTTAACAAATGTAAAAACTGCGTACAAAGAGACTAAACAGCTTGCTCAAGCTGGGATTTAAGTTCAAGCAGGTCTTAACTTACACACTTTTCTACTTCTCTACACCAGCGGTTCTCAACCTGTGGGTCGCCAACCTGTGGGTCGCGACCCCTTTGGGGGTTGAACGATCCTTTCACAGGGGTCGCCTAAGACCATCGGAAAACACATATATAATTACATATTGTTTTTGTGACTAATCACTATGCTTTCATTATGTTCAATTTGTAACCATGAAAATACATCCTGCATATCAGATGTTTACATTACGATTCCTAACAGTAGCAAAATTACAGTTATGAAGTAGCAACGAAAATAATTTTATGGTTGGAGGTCACCACCACATGAGGAATGTATTAAAGGGTCTCGGCATTAGGAAGGTTGAGAACCACTGCTCTACACCAAAGTAACCACTCTATATGCTAAACTGATTATCCCCACCTCGTGGAAGAAACTAAGACTTTAATCTCATGTAGCTTGCCCAAGTAAAAGAGAGGGGCTCTTTGTATCAGACAAAGCCAAGAAGTTTGAGAATAAAGCTCACCACAGTGCTCCCACAGTGGCAACAGCTGTTGTTCACTAGGTGCCAGTGGTATTCTCTGTGGCATGAGGCCTTGGGACCAACAATTCCTCCTCCCTCTCCTTCTCTCCCAACCTTTGCTTTAAAAACTCCCCATTTGATACTGGGAACTACAAGTTCCCTGATGCCCCTACCTGGTAATGGATGACATGCTGGACTTTAGGAATATCCAGGCCCCGAGCTGCTACATCTGTTGCCAGGAGAACACAACTGTGGTAGAAAAAGGAAGCTCATTAATAATACCTAATAGCTATCACTAATCAAATCTAAACACTATAAACCCTTACAAACACCCTATGAGATATTATGTACGTATCTCCTTTTCACAGATTCAGAAACTTAGGCTGAGAGAGAGAACTTCCCGAGGTACATACATGGCCGTAATCAACAAGCCACACTCTGCAATACTGAAGACCACCTCAAGTGACTTCCGTGAAGCCACACATATTCCAGGTCGGTGACCTCATCCCCTATCACCCTCCCGCTTACCTCCCTCCAGTCACATAGATGTCCTTGCTCTTCCTCAAACATGCCAAACATGCGCTTACTGTCAAGCCTTTGCACTTGCTATACCTAAGGTCCTAAAAGGTCTTCCTCAGATACTCACATTTCCTTACTTCTGCTCTGCTCAAACCTCACCTTATCAGAGAAGCCTCCCTGGCCACACACTCACACAGTCTGCACAACTCCCCACACAACTTGACTGTTTAGCACTTAGTACCACCTGACAAACCATATACTTACTTTTCTTCTTTTATTTATATACTTACTTTTCAACTTATTATTTCCTTCCACTGTAAACTCCAGGAGACTGCATTGTTCACTGTGCTATTACCAGCCCCTAGAACAGCACCTGGTTCATAGTAAGCACTTGATAATATGTGTGGAGTGATGTTTCTTAATATCTGTACAGTTCGAGGAAAGTCAAAAACACTTGAGGTCTTAAAAACAAGATTTTGAGCCCTTCAGGGTCCAAACTCCCTGTATCTCTGAGGTAGGGATGGGGAATATGATGCAAATTAAAGGCTGTCAAACATTAAACCATTGCTCTAAGTCAGTGATGGCAAACCTTTCGAGCTCGGCATGTCAGCATTTTGAAAAACCCTAACTTAACTCTGGTGCCGTGTCACATATAGAAATTTTTTGATACTTGCAACCATAGTAAAACAAAGACTTATATTTTTGATATTTATTTTATATATTTAAATGCCATTTAACAAAGAAAAATAAACCAAAAAAAATGAGTTCGTGTGTCATAGGTTCGCCATCACTGCTCTAAGTCAAGGTCAACAAACTCTTTCTATAAAAGGCCAGGTAAGTAAATTATTTTTGGTTTTGTGGGTGATAGTCTCTGTTGAAACTACTCAACTCTGCTGTTATGGTGCAAAAGCAGGCACAGAGAAACATGAATAAGCCTTGCTGTGTTCCAATAAAAAGTTACTAATAAAAACAGGCAGCCCTGGCCAGTGTGGCTCAGTGGTTGAGTAATGACCTATGAACCAGGAGGTCACCAGTTCAATTCCTGGTCAGGGCACATGCCTGGGTTGTGGGCTTGATCCCCAGTAGGGGGCATGTAGGAGGCAGCCAATCAATGATTCTCTCTCATCAATGTTTCTCTCTCTCTCTCCCTCTCCCTTCCTCTCTGAAATCTATAAAAATATATATATTTTTTAAAAAGCAATGAAAACATATTTTAAAAAGTTAAAATAAAAACTGGCAGTGAGCCCTGACTGGATAGCTCAGTTGGTTAGAGCATTGTCCCCATATGCCAAGGTTGCGAGTTCAATACCCGGTCAGGTCACATAAAAGAATCAAGCAATGAATACATAAATGAATGCATGAAAATGTGAAACAACAAATTGGTATTTCTCTAAGAAAATCAATTAAAAAAACAAAACAAAAAAGCAGGCAGTAAGCCAGATTTGGCCTGTGGGCCAGTTTGCCAACTCCTGATCCAGTAAAGCAGTAACTCTACCTACCAACATTCAAAGGGAGTTAAACCAGACACTTGTTCTAGAAACTAATCACCCTGTAACCTGACAAAAAACACTGTGGGCAAATGCCAATTCAGAGTCAGCCTCAACCAGCCCAGGCCCTCAGCTTGATATCTCACCCTGCTGCCTGAGCATCCATCTGGCCCTGAAGCAGATGGTCAATGACAACATAACACGTAAGGCACGGCATGAGCGCTGGGGGCTGACAGGCTGGTTGGAGGCCCAGCTCTGTCAGGCTGAGAAACCTCGGGCAAGCTAACTAGCTTTTCTAGACCTTACTGTTTCTCACCTATAAATGAGAATAACGATAACAAATGATAGTAAAGCTAACATTTAGCAAGTATATACTACATGCCCGGCATTGTTCTAAACACTTTATATGCACAAATCTACTTAATCTTAACAGCCCTCTGAGGTGGCTTCTATTACTACACTAATTATGAGAAAACTGAAACAGAATTTGACCAGCTAGAAGGGTACAGCCAGGATTTGATCTCAGGCCATCTGTTCCAATCTGTTCTCTTACCATCAGTCTATTCTGCTTCTTCTCAAGAATGTTAGAAGTGAACGAATGTAGTAATGTATCTAAAATGCATCATAGTACTTACTCTATTCTTATGGTAGGTACTACTGTCACCGATGTTCATTATTAAGGAAGTTTCTGTTGGGCATTACCAGCAACCAAATGTACTAGACAGGGTAAGCCTGCCTCATACTGTTCAAAACAAGAGCACTTTATACTGATAAGGCCCCATAACAGAAGGTAGCTTCCCACCATCTCCCCACCATCCTGCAACCTTGACCCAATGGCTAGAGGCCGGGCTCTGGGGACAGGCCTGACTTACTCTTCCAGGCGAGCAAACTGCTCCAGGTTTCTGAGCCTCTGCTTCTGGTGCATGCAGGCATGGAGGGTCAGCGGCATGATGTCTAAGACTTTGAGGAGCCCAGAGAGGCGTTTGATGCAGGAGATACTGTTGGCAAACACTAAGGTGCGGCCTGGATACTGCATCAGGAAGTAGTACAGACATAAGTCTTTCTCATCATTCTCACAATGGATCTTGGTCTCGGTCAGTGTCTCCACTGTGGCCTCATTTCTTGTGAGGTCAATGACCTTGGGCTTGCCCCTCATGCCAATCTTCTGCATGAGGATGTCCAGTTTGGCAGTTTTGTCAATTTTCTTGGTATGTTTCTTGTGAAGGACTCGAGCAGGAGCTTGATGTACCAAGGTCAGTGTGGCAGAAAAAACAAGTGTCTGTCTCTTTGGGTTGTATTGGGAGTCACTGAGCATCTCTAGCAGCTGTGAGAGCTCAGCAAAGTGGCCTTTCTCAACCATCCGGTCAGCCTCATCAATCACCAGGCACCTGCAGATCCAGACAGCCCCACATTCGCTGGTTAATAGCAGGTAAGAGGAATCATCTAGAACATCCTACTACCACCCCACCCTCAAAACACACACACACACACACAAAACACACACACACACACACACACCCCGTGACCTCATGCATGTTTGGTTTTCTGAAGGCCAAGGTTTAGCTGGTACCACATCAGGACACTTGTGACACATCAGGACACTTGTGACAGAGAGAAGGCACTGCACACACTACCAGGTCAATGCAGGCCCACTTCAGAACAGGGGGTGAGGGAGCTCCTGTCTCTCACCTGAGCTGCCGAAGGTTGCTCAAATGAGGGTGCTTTTCTTTAACGAGCTCCCACAGTCGGCCCGGAGTGGCGATCACAATCTCAGGCTGGCGGTTCAGCATTCTCTGCTGTTTCTGCGTGGACATTCCACCAACCAAAATAGCCGTTTTAATTCCTATGGTACACAAACATAAGGGACACCGTTATGCAGTCTAGTTGCGTTTCTTCCACAGCTGACACAGGCACCCCAGATTAGCAGAGGCAGTTACCAGCACAGCTCCTCTCTGCAGGGGGTGCTGAAAGAGCTGGCAGGGCCTAACTGCTGGTGCCACTCCTAGAGGACTTTCCAAGTCTGGGATCTGGGCCTTGCCTACTTCCCCAACCTCCTTTCTTTCTACTCCCTTCTCTCCAACCACAACAGCTCCAGAAAAACTGAGCAATGCTGCACCACAACTGGGAATAATGTTACCTGTGGCTGTGACACACCTCCCCTGGGAAGCCTGCCCATGCCCCTCAATTAGAATTCATCTGAATCTCCGCCAGTGCCTGGTATTCTCTCCTCCCTCGTGGAGGACTTCTCAGGGTGTCCAGTGTGAAAGAAACACACAGAAGCATGCAGTCAAAGCGCTCGGCAAAGTACCTCACACGCAGTGAGAGTTGGTAAGTAACTGTTGCTTTTACTATAAAATACACACTCCCACTGTGCAGTTCCCCCAAAAGGAATTCCATGAGAATTAAGTTCTAATGCCCTAAGGCAGAGGTCGGCAAAGTTTTCCCTAAAGTGGCAATCATAAACATTTTTGGCTTCGTGGGCTAAATGATCTGTCACAACTACTGCCCAGCCAGTATTGCTCAGAGATTGAGCATTGACCCATGAACCAAGAGGTCATGGGTTCGATTTCCGGCCAGGGGACATGCCCAGGTTGTGGGCTCAATCCCCAGTACGGGGCATGCAGGAGGCAGGTGATCTATGTTTCTCTCTCATCAATGTTTCTATCCCTCTCCCTTCTCTCTCTATAAAAATCAATAAAAACGTTTTTTAAAAAAACAACTACTACTAACTCTATTTCACTCTGCCTTGGTGGGCTGCACTTTATTTACAAAATCAGGTAGTTTGTCAAATCCTGCCCTAAGTATCCACTATATCCAACAAATTAATTTCCTGTGCATCTAGAATGGCATTAACTAGGTCTTTCTTAGGACAACTGAGAAAGTAGCATTCAATTTTCTGTGGAGCGTAATTCTCTGGCAGACGAGAAGTTTCCCTAGAGGGCAATAGCCACAGCTCGCTCACCTCTGCCACGCCAGCACCTAGGACCCTCTCAGGAAATACTACATGGAACTAAACCTTACCTGTGAACCTGGCCACAGCATCGATGTGCTGTTTGACCTGGACAGCTAGCTCTCGGGTGGGAGTCAGAACCAGCCCAAGTAGAGGACGCTTTGGATGGGATTTACAGGTGACGGATTTGACATCGAACTCCTGTTGTAGCGTTCCAGTCTGTTCTTCATCAAGCTTTTCCTCTCTGTCCTCATCCTGTTTGGGGATGGACTTCTCCCTGATTAGGGAAGAAGGTCCTTCGCCAGCATCATCATCCCAGAAGGGCAGCACCTGGTCTGAGATGGCAGCTCCAGTCTCACTGGGCAGTGCTTCACCCTCTATCCCCATCTCATCACACACGGATCCAGACTCAGTTCCAGCCTTGCTTGGTGACCCAGTCTCAGCTCCAGTCTCACCAGGTGGCGCTGCTGTGTTACTCAGAGCTGGGGTAGGCTTCTTCACCTGCCACTGCAGCACTGAATGAATCATTGGAATGGCAAAGGCCAGCGTTTTCCCACTGCCTTAGAAGTAAAGCAAACAGACAAAACAAGCAAAAACAGTGTGAATCAACAGATGCACATATTTTTGTCTGAGGTTCTTTCTTTACACAGAATAAGGAACCCTTGAAATAGCAAAGTACCACCCAGACCAACCCAAAAACCCCCCACCATGCATAGGCTCCCCTACAGCACTGCACCTATAATTAGGAGCCTGAGGAAAATCTGGCAAACTGACATTGAAATACGTCACCAATGATGAACTAAGGACAAATGTCCAAGCAATGAAACCCTAAAGAGATGGGCAAGCCGAAACCGGTTTGGCTCAGTGGATAGAGCGTCGGCCTGCGGACTGAAGGGTCCCGGGTTCGATTCCGGTCAAGGGCATGTACCTGGGTTGCGGGCACATCCCCAGTGGGGGATGTGCAGGAGGCAACTGATCGATGTTTCTCTCTCATCGATGTTTCTGACTCTCTATCTCTCTCCCTTCCTCTCTGTAAAAAATCAATAAAATATATTAAAAAAAAAAAAAGAGATCGGCAAGTTGTATGTGTGTTTTGTTGTTGTTGTTGTTAAGGAAAAACACATTGGGGGGGGGGGGGGGGGGGGGAAATGGACATCTGTAACAGTTCTTTCCCAAAACCTTTCTTTGGTGAGGAAGGAGGAAGTAAGAAAAATAAAATCTTAGTTCCTGAGAAAATTTTAAATTGGCATACTCTTGTCTATGCTTAGACAAGAATGAATGGCCTCTGAATGTATATGGAGTCGCAATTCCTATCATGTGGGTGGTCAAAACAACCAAAACAAAACACCTGGAGTTGAGAACTTAAAGTAGCTCCAAAGTCATAAAGCCCAAGCAGAAACAAGTAAATGAGCTCTGGATGAAGAAACCTTTATCATAGGCTCAAGAACTCGCCCAAATAATTTTCAGAGGAAAACGAACAGCTCTCAGTATTAAAAACGCACAAAGGACGAGGTGCTATAGCAGAAACAAGAATAAAAGAGCAAAAAACAGACCCACAAAACTTCAAAGAAAAACAGCACCTTCCAACAGAAACAATGAAAGCTAGAAGACAGTGTAACAATATTTGTATTTGAAGATCTGAAAAAATTACTGAGAATCTAGAACTCTACACTCAGCAAAAATTTCTTTCAAAGCAAATACAAGATAAGGACTTTTTTAGGCATACAGAAGTTGAAACAATTTATCATCAGTAGAGCTGAACTAAAAAAAACATTAAAAGAAGTCTTTCATGCAGAAGAAAATCTGGATCAACAAAAGGAATGATGAGCACCAGAAATGGTAACATGAATCAATATAAAAGATGCCTTTTTTCTTATTTAAACTTCTCTTAAAAATAATTGACCATCTAAAGCAAAAATAACATAAATGTATTTGGGGATTCCTAACGCATTGTAAAGTATAAAATGAAAAGAACAAAGAAGAGGAAAAATGGAAATATAAGAGGCTGCCTGGGGATGAAAAGGAGGGAGGCCAGGGAAGGAGATTACAAAGGGGTCCAAAGCATATGGTGGGGTGGTGGGTATATTCATTATCTACATGGGCAGCAGTTGTCCACTGCCCCAAGCTTTTTGAATCTTGGACCTGCAGATTCACAACATGCCATGCGATGGCCTGATAGGAGCTGAGGTATAACTCCCAATGTCAGGCTTTAGCCACAGTGGCTCACAGAACCTTGCCTACCTGCCTTCCAGAAACCCATTGCCACGCCTCTGCACATACCAAAGCAGTGTTGCCAAATGCGTAACAGCACAAAGATCCAGCCTAGAATCCAGGCACCCCAGATTTCAGCTGTGCAGGTTTAGGGACTCCGTCTATCCTCTGTGATGCCAAGTTTCCACATCAATAAGATGGGAACAATGGAACTTACCTCAGGGTGGTTGTGAGAGCTTAACACAGGGCAAGACACATTTTAAATGCTAAGTAAATGTTCTAACTCATTATTACCTTCATTCCCCTTTCTTGAGGTCTCCTCGCTCTTCCATCTACTACATGACTGTTCTACAGGAACTCATCCCAGGTTTCCTGACCACTTTCAGAAGGCACTAAGTGTCTACATGGTCTAGTCCTATCCGTACCATAGAGTACTCACTAAGGCTACTGAGCACTTAAAATGTGGTTACTCTAAATTGAGATGTGCTGCAAGTTCAAAATACACACAGATTTTTAAAAGTTAGTATAAAAAGGAATGCAAAGTAGCTCATTAACAATTCTACATATATTACATACTGACATGTTTTTTTATAAAATTGGTTAAATATATTGTTAAAATTAATTTCACCTCTTCTTTTTTACATTTTTAACATGGCTCCTTGGAAACTTGAAATTATATATGTGGCTCACATTTTATTTACGTGTGTGTGTGTGTGTGTAATAAAAAAAAAAGGGTGATATGCTAATTAGACCGGATGTCCTTCCGGACAAACTTCAGGATGAAGCCGGGGCTTCGGGGCCAAGGCAAGCCGCCACAGTGGCAAGGGCTGAACCCCTTGCACGAATTTCATGCATCGGGCCTAGAGGCAATTGAGAAGCATGGATTCTGAGGCAACAAATATTTGCTAAGCAGCCTATAGAATACTAGGCCCAGCAAAGAAGTGAGGACACAAAGGTGTCTCTAACACTGATGCTCCCAGCTAGAGAACACCAAGGAAGGAAAGAAATACACCCATAAAGCAGGCAGTCTGGCTGCAACAGAGGGGACACAGAAGACGGAGCCAAGTATCCCAGATCCAATACTTACTGCTCATGAGCCCTTGGAAAGAAAGCCCTGCTTCATCCTCTCTGAACCTGTGTTCTCATATATACTAGAGGCCCGATGCACAAAATTTGTGCAAGGGGCATATATACAGGAGGCCCAATGCATGAATTTTGTGCAAGGGGCTCTGCCCCCGGCCACTGCAGCTTTGTCCAGAAGGTCTTCCGGAAGGATGTCCGGTCTAATTAGCATATTATGCTTTTATTATTATAGGTGTGTGTGTGTATGTGTGTAGAGGGTGTCCCCCAAAAAATGTATTCACACTTTAATAGCTGATAGTTCAATTTTGAAAAGCGCGCGCGCACACACACACACACACAACCAATGGTCTAGTTGGACTAACAGTTCCAGGAAGTATAAGCTCCTCCCCCCACGCAGTTTAGTCCACCCAGGGAAAGTCAACCTATCATTGCTTCACAAAGTCGTAAGTGACTTGGGGAATGCGGGAACTTTAAACAATGCCTAGTCCCAACAGGCAGCTCATGCCAAATCTGCCTACAAAATCCACCTAATAAACATCCACCACACTCAGATCCTTCCAGCGACAATAAACCACCAACTCCCAAAGCAGCACTTTTTATCTTTGGACAACTGAGAACCGGACACTCCCTCCTTACACGGATGAAGATCCACCTCTCCAGAGGGCTGATCCTAGCCCTGCTCTACTCCTCTGAGCCACTTAGAAAACGCTCAGGAACAGGAAAAAACTACCATTTGCACATCACTTACAATGACTTCAATTTTACTTTACTGTGGCATTTACATTTCACCCACACACAAAAGAAATAGGCTGCTGTTGTCCCCATTTTATAACGGGCATACACTGCTCAGGAGATCAGGCGACTTGCTTAGGCTACTGATCAGGAACAGGCAGAGTACAACTCCGAGCTGGCGGACTTCTAAACACCTTCACTAACAGTGCTTTCATGGTTCTGTTCCCAACACCCCCTCTCTCCCAGTCACCCAGCCTTGGCAGCCAACGGCTCCGTCCAGATGAGGTGCCCTACCTGTCTCGGCCGCCCCAAGGATGTCCAGTTTGTCGCGGATGGCAGGAGCCAAGGTCAGAGCTTGGATTGGCGTGGGCGCAGAGAAGCCGAGGGCGCTGAGTGCGCGGAGAACTGGCCTGGGTACAAACAGATCCTTCCAAGCGGACACATCTGCCTTCTGGTCACGCACTTCAGGCAGCCATGTCTTGGCTTTTTTGGGCACCTGTGGAGTAGCTCCCTGGGAAGGCTCCGATTTTCTTTTCTCTTTCTTTTTCTTCTTTTTTGGAACAGTCAGGGCCGGGCTTCCTGGTGCCATCTCCCCTCCCTGTGGATCAGGACGGACTGCGCCATCTCCCTGGGGCTCTGGCTCAGCCTCTTTGACCTCACTCTCTGTCTGGGCACTGGTTCCTTCAGTCTCCGCATCTTTGCTCTTCTTCAACTTCATCTTCTTCTTTGCAGAGCTACACTCTCCTTCCTCCTCGCCTTCTGGGACAGCGTGGGCCTTTCTCTTCTTGGGCTCCCCCTTTGAGAAGAGACTGGAGGGATTCTTGGCAGGGGAGACCAGCCGGTAATCCGTCAGTTCCTCAAAGCATACCAGGTCATCCATCTGTCCATCTGCAAACATGTTTGGGTCAATCTTCACCTGCTTCCACTTTCCCACAACCTTGATTCCCTTCCTCTGAAACTTGCCATGGCTTGGTGACTTTGGCCTTGAGTTTGTGTCCTTCAACTTCATGGTGGCTGAAAGGGAGAGAGGAACATTCCATTACATTGGCAGCTGAGAAGCATGGCTTCTGAGGCAACAAACATTTTCTAAGCAGCCGACAGAATGCCAGGCCCTGCGAAGAAGTGAGGACGCAGAGGTGTCTCCAGCACGGACGCTCCCAGCCAGAGGACCCCACGGAAGGAAGGAAATGCACCCACGAAGCAGGCAGCCTGGCTGCGACGGAGGGGGAGCCAAGTACTCCAGACCCAATACTTACTGCTCCTGAGCCCTGGAAAGAAAGCCCTGCTCAATCCTCTCCCAACCTGTGCTCTCACCTTTTTACAAGGAAGAAGGGCCTAATCATGTTCAAGTCACAAAATGGAGGACGAAGCCAGCCACACTCAAGCCATTTTGAAGGCAGAATAAAATGGTGGGTTTTTTTAGGGGGGGACTGAGGGGGGGATAGCTGAAGGGGCCGGCTTCAATACAAGTGCAGGGCTTTGCCCTGGCTGGTTTGGCTCAGTGGATAGAACATCGGCTGCGGACTGAAGGGTCCCGGGTTCCATTCCGGTCGGGGGCACATGCCTGGGTTGCGGGCTGGATCCCCAGTAGGGGGCGTGCAGGAGGCAGCCGATCAATGATTCTCATCACTGATGCTTCTCTCTCTCTTTCCTTCTCCCTTCCTCTCTGAAATCAATAAAAATACATTTTTTAAAAAGTGCACAGCTTTCTTCCTTTTCAAGTCTTGCCCCGAGCGGGCAAATAAATGCCCGTTCCCCGTGCTGGCGTTGGCCCAATGCCCCAAAGCATCCAGGCTTTTCCCCACCTGTGAGGTGGTTTAAGAACCATTAAACACGTATCGTTCTGAGCGGAACTCGCTCCCCGCCTTTCCCTTTCCAGAAAGGCTAAGAAAAACCCACTGTAGAAAAACAAACGCGACCCCGTTGCAAGCCGGACCAC